TCGAACGCAATTGATGCGTTTGAGCCGAGCATTGAAAGACAAACGGCCGCAATACAACGAGAGACACGGTAAAGTGATTTTGCAGCATGACAATGCTCGACCCCATGTTGCGAAAGTGGTCAAGACATACTTGGAAACGTTGAAATGGGAAGTCCTATCCCATCCGCCGTATTCTCCAGACGTTACTCCCTCTGACTATCACTTGTTTCGATCAATGGCACACGGCCTGGCTGACCAGCACTTCCGGTTTTATGAAGAAGTAAAAAATTGGATCGATTCGTGGATCGCCTCAAAAGATGACCAGTTTTTTCGACGCGGGATTCGTACGCTGTCCGAAAGATGGGAGAAAGTAGTGGCCAGCGATGGACAATACTTTGAATCATAAATGTATAACCAGTTTTTTACAATAAAGCCTCGAATTTCGGAAAAAAACGGCGGAAGCAAAGTTGCACCTAATAATTTGGAAATTTATGGTCGCCACACATATATTGGGCTCACAATTTCGAATTTTAACTTTCTGTTTAACTTTTTATTTAATATTTCAATTAAACAGATTTAAAATTCGTAATCAGCGCGACCCCGAAATCCTCCAAATTTGAAGAAACTTCATTGAGAAATAAAATGTATAGTTCAAAGGATTAGTCAATTTTTAATTTGTTTTTTCGATTCATTCATTCAAACTAATCCGTTCGTTGACGAAAGGATTTCACTTCATCGTTCATCGCTACACGCAAAAAAATAACAGTAATATCAGCTAAACCGCGATAGCTAATTCAAACGGCTTAGTCAAAAGGCTAATCGTTTAGCTGTCACTGCTGTCATTGGCTATGACAGCTAAAATGCATTCGCTATAAAATACAAATATATTAGATGATATTAAAAATGCGCATTATTTCAAGTAGCTAAGAAAATGAAAGTTATTCCTAAATTTCTTATCGTATGCATATATTAAAGAAGTTTGCCGCACAGCTACAATTATTTGCTACAGTCATTTGTTTCTAGCAGCTAATATTTCTGTAACACCTAAGTTTAACAGCGAATAAATTTAGCTTCGGCAGTATCGACATTAGCTGTCCCTATTTCAGTGACACATCTTATCTGCCACAATTATTTTTTAGCTCTGGAAGCTAGTTTTTTTTTGCGTGTATGAGTTTTTAATGAACGATTTTAAATAGTAAAAAGTACATCACAGAAGTTTGATACTCTGAAAAGTTTCGATATAATTTCCACCACTCGTTTTTTAACATCGATACTAGTTAAATATAACGTCAATATTTATTCAGAATTTTTGTGCAATTAAACGGACAATTTTTCAAGCTTTTTTTTGTAATTACAAAATTCATATGGAAATCTTGTAGAGGACACGTTTCCGCGAACCATTTAAAATATTCCACACGCTAAATTCTATCTCGAGCTGTTTTATTGCTGCATAGATATCCATAATTTTGGAGAGCACGATTTATGAATACTTCTGTTTCAATTTAATTTCGCGTGCTAATATTCAAACTACTACTACTTTAGCGCCAGGTATTCACTTACAATACGTACAATTCGAGATTGTAATTTATATGAATGCTCCCGTCGCGCAATTTAATTACGATCGAGTTACTTTAAACTCACAGATACGATGCGAGTTATTTCAAATTGTTTTCGGAACGGCTGTCAGAGTGTTTTACGACGTAGAAATTGATGGAAAGCTCTCCGACGTAGTCACGCCTCGTCGAATCTAGAGTTTCTTCGTTTCGAAGTGAATTCATCACGAGTGGCGCTAAGAAGTTATATAAGGCGACAAAACGCGAAGCACGTCCCGTAAGAGCTCGCAATTTATTCACTTCGTTCACTAGGCTGGAAAGGAGAACGGACGATAATTAACCGGCCAATTTCCGTCGACATCTGTCAATGGAAATGAAACGGACGGAACGTTGCCTCACGCCCACACTCACTACGTAATAGTGATCCTCGTTGACTGTTAACGCGCTCGTTAATAATTGTCTTGCTCCTGTGTTTTCTGCCTCTGTGCATTTCTTCTTCTTTTTTCGCGACAGAAAACCTTGCTCACCGTCCTGCGGACGGCGCGCGTTGCTCTCGAACGTGGAGTTCCGTAATTTTCATCTCATTTCGCCTCGGCGACGCTTAAATGCCAACCACTACCGTAGGCCCTCAGCCTTGCGCACCCCTACGACGCGCGAGGATAAATGCGACAGATAAGACGGACACGGACTCATTAGATGGCTCGTTCGTTCCTTGTACGCGTCTGCTAAATTAACTCTCATCAGCACGCAAGACAGACCAGCCGCGTGGGAGGGATTGGCGATTCCCTTTACATTTTAAAAGGGTCCTTGGCCAAGAGCGATATTGCTGGCGATATAGGTCGGCGTATTTTTGCATATTATCCGTCCGAGATATCCTTGAATTTAACGACAAATTTGTCGATGAGCGAGTTATTAATCGTCGCGTTTTTTATTAAAAACACTTAAGGGCTCTGTAGGTTAAATAGAATCATGAGAGTTTGATGAAGGTTTCAGAGTGTCAAAATAGTTGAATGGAATATTAAGGCTGAAAGAGAGAGAGAGAGAGAAAGAGTAAGATCAAAATTTCGACTCACAGAAAAATACTTCAAATCCAAGCGTGTTATTTTACACTCAAAGAAATGTTTAGTTGGTCTAGATAGAGTTCTAAATGTCACAGTTAAAATTTATCGCTGTTTTTTGTATCTGCTAAAAAATTGCCTCTGGTGCGTGGAACAGCAGCATTTTAGCAATATCTGCATTAAGGAAAAAATTACTTTAAATTCGACAAATATTTTTCTGATAAAACGCTTACTTTTTACTTAAATCAGGTAAACAATATTTGATTTAAATAAAGAGAATTTAGATTTAAGTAAATATGTTAATGGCACCCATCAAAGAAATATTTATTGATTTTAAGGTAATTTTTCCCTCAGTATGCGAGCAAATTTTGAGTGCGAATTTTGCGTGCAAATTTTGAGTGCAAATTTTGCGAGAATTATATATTCAATTTATTATTATCGGATCGTGAGGAAAAAACCATCAATTGTGGTTGATCAATTTGCTTACTGCTTAATTCTTGAATCTTAAACATAACATTTAGACCAATTTTCTAAACGGTATTAAAAAGTATGGGTTTTATTTTTTTATTATAACTTTTTCTGCCATCATGGGATGTAAAAAATTTTCGTTTTCCTGCGCGCTTCGGGTTTTAATAGATTTTCATCTTTGCTATTCAAATAATAAATCATCACGATCCAGCCGCTCAACGTTAAGCAAGCAGTGACGCTTTGCGTCGCTTATACGTGACGAATGATCCCTATTGGCGCTTTTTCGCGTATCGGTACCGTCAGGAGAGGCACGGGAGAGATGTCGGTTTCCTTCATTAAATATTTGATGAAGGATTAGGTAAGGACGTGGGGTATGCGCTATTAAAGTTAATAAAATAAGAAGGAATGGTAGCGCGTGATCGGAAAGATCGAGTCTTTTTATTTGCTTTGCCAATGGATTTGACGAAGGTACCCGTTGGGATATTAATCTGTTTTCTTGCGCTGAGGGACACGCGGGACGCACACCGCATACGTATTAATTTTTCAGATTGTAATGCGGCAATGCTCATTCCCCGCGCTTCGATTTCATGTGGAAAACGTGTCAAAGAAGGACCACGCGCGGCTACTGAAATACCCGCGTGGTTTGAACATCTTTCTCCCGAGAGATAGAAAATCGCACGAAACATCCTCAGGGAAAACATCCTCAACCGTGTGGTTGAGCGGAAGAGAAATTTATACAGGTGGCAGGAAATACATATACTATTGTCGATTTAATAATAACGTGATAGGAGGCCGTAAGCATAAGCCGACTAGACTCGACTTTTGCCTACCATTACAAGACACGTGTTCCAACGTATTAAGGAAAACGCACTTCCACCTTGTCATCGGCTTTCTGAAAGTATGTTAACCTCTCTTTGTGGACCGAGTCAGGGCCGTTTTACGTCCCCAATATCGCTCCATACGAAGCAATTTCAGCTCTCGTAATAAAAGATCTTGATACAGCTCGGCTTCCTATTGACTGACTGACCTGTGCGAGAACTTAATATATCCGACGAGTTTCCTCTCTCTCTCTTTCTCTCTTTCACACACACACACACACACACACACATATACTCTATCTCTTTCAAGACGCGTATTCGACTAAACAATCCTTGGTCGGTTCAGGACGTTAATGATGAGGACAATGTGCTACAGAGATACGCCGTTTATTATTGTGACTTCCGAAGCAAGTACATCGTCGACAAGCCATTGATCGAGACACATTTATAACGTTACGATAATATCCACACTATTGACAATGCGTTTCTTCTTTTTTTAGCTTTCGAGCCTATCGCTCACAGGTTTATACGTGCATGCTCTTTTATAGATGTACTCGCAATACACACTATTCTTAATTACATCACAGTTTACATGTATGTGCAAATTATATGTAAGTTTCGCAATAAGCGTTCTTCGTTTTCGCGACTAGGCAGGCTTCGCGCGATTCGATCTGTCCTGTCGACATGTTTGTTCCGTCGGGATGACACGGAAGCGAACGCGACGCTTCCTGCTCGAGCTCGAACGGCCACACAATCTCTGCAAAATATAAAACAGAATTTATTTCATAAACGGGGCAGATTATACGGAGTCAGCGACGATGGAGGGATTTCGGTGGGGTGTCTAGAATTTAAATCGCGCCCGATACTCGAGATAGAAAATTTCCGGCTTTCCATACAGAATCGATTTCTTCCCGTGTTATCGTGAGAATGCACTAGAGCGGAGGTCTTAGGGAAAATAAGATATTCCTATGTGTCGAGGAAAATGTGACGTTGATTAATAGACGCACGAAACGCAGGTGTGTTTAACCCGTTCCTCGTTTCCAAGGAGTTTGGCTGAAATGAATCGACAGTACGTTGCATATTAATTTGCGTCGATTACATTCTTCCTTCTCCTCTGTCCCTTCTTCTTCTCTCTCTCTCTCTCTCTCTCTCTCTCTCTCTCTCTCTCTCTCTCTCTCTCTCTGTCTATATCTATCTATATATTCCCCTCTTTCATCTCTCTCTTTCTCTTCCTCTCTCCCTCTCTCTATGTCTCTTTTCGCACAGAGAGGAGCTTTATACGCGGGTTGCAATCTGCATTGTTAATGCGTGTCATTATCGCGAAATAACGAAAATGGCGAACACGCGAAAATTCATTGAAATTAGATGTACCTCGACTGTCGCTCGATGCTTTTAGTACGCTCTATTTCGTTCCTATCATTATTTCGTTATCGTCGAAAGAGACACTTTACTATAACGAGTATCTCTAATGAATTGCATGGGGTGCGTGGTGCATAGTGTGTCGTGATGAATTATCCGTATCTTTGAAACGATATATATATATATATATATATATATATATATATATATATATATATATATATATATATATATATATATATATATATATATA